ACATACCATAGATTCGAGGTTACCACATCACGTCCTGTATATGTGTTAAACATGCCACGTTCGGTTTCTGTGGTTAACATACCATGTCTTGTCTCACCTTCTTTACACGGTGGCTACAGCTTTATCAAACAATAGCTCCAGGTTTATCACACCATGGCCCAAGTTTACGGTACCACGTCTCTGTGTCTACCACCCCACGTGATGTCTCTGTCTACCACCCCACTTCCTGTCTCTACCACCCCACTTCCTGTCTCTGTGTCTACCACCCACGTGATGTCTCTGTGTCTACCACACCACTTCCTGTCTCCGTGTCTACCACCCACTTCCTGTCTCTACCACCCCACTTCCTGTCTCTGTGTCTACCACCCCACGGGATGTCTCTGTCTCTACCACCCCACTTCCTGTCTCTGTGTCTACGACTCCACTTCCTGTCTGTGTCTACCACCCCACTTCCTGTCTGTGTCTACCACCCCACTTCCTGTCTCTGTGTCTACCACCCCACTTCCTGTCTCTGTGTCTACCACCCCACTTCCTGTCTCTGTGCCTACCACCTCACTTCCTGTGTCTACCACCCCACTTCCTGTCTCTGTGTCTACCACCCCACTTCCTGTCTCTGTGCCTACCACCTCACTTCCTGTCTGTCTACCACCCTACTTCCTGTCTCTGTGTCTACCACCCCACTTCCTGTCTCTGTGTCTACCACCTCACTTCCTGTCTGTCTACCACCCCACTTCCTGTCTCTGTGTCTACCACCCCACGTCCTGCCTCTGTGTCTACCACCCCACTTCCTGTCTCTACCACCCCACTTCCTGTCTCTGTGTCTACCACCCCACGTGATGTCTCGGTGTTCACCACACCACTTCCTGTCTCTCTGTCTACCACCCCACTTCCTGTCTCTGTGTCTACCACCCCACGTGATGTCTCTCTGTCTACCACCCCACTTCCTGTCTCTGTGTCTACCACCCCACGTGATGTCTCTGTCTAGCACACCACTTCCTGTCTGTGTCTACCACCCCACTTCCTGTCTCTGTGTCTACCACACCACTTCCTGTCTGTGTATCCTGGTTTACCATCTTGGTACCGGGATTACCACACCATGTCGCCTGGGTTCACCGCACAACGGCTATGGGTTCACCGCACCACGGCTCTGGGTTCACCGCACCAAGGCTCTGGGTTCACCGCACCACAGCTTTGCGTTCACCGCACAAGGCTCAGGGTTCACCGCACCACGTCTTTGGGTTCACCGCACCGAGGCTCTGGGTTCACCGCACCGAGGCTCTGGGTTCACCGCACCGAGGCTCTGGGTTCACCACACCAAGGCTTTGGGTTCACCACACCACGGCTATGGGTTTACCGCACCACGGCTTTGGATTCACCGCACCAAGGCTTTGGGTTCACCGCACCACGTCTTTGGGCTCACCGCACCACGGCTCTGGGTTCCCTGCACCAGTGGCTCTGGGTTCCCACACCACGGCTTTGGGTTCACCGCACCACGGCTCAGGGCTCACCGCACCACGGCTCAGGGCTCACCGCACCAAGGCTCTGGGTTCACCGCACCACGGCTCTGGGTTCACCGCACCACGGCTCTGGGTTCACCGCACCACGGTGGTGGGTTCACCGCACCACGACTCTGGGTTTACCGCACCACGGCTGTGGGTTCACCGTGCCACGCGAGGGACCTGAGTCCCGGTGGGGAGGTCACAGTGCTGCCAGGCCTGAACCCGTGGACACCAAATACCCCTGTGTGACCCCCAATTTACCCCCAATTAATCCCCAAATACACCGCTGATTCATCCATATTTTTACCCCGAAGCGGGGGGGGGGGGGGGGCTGGGGCAGGAGAGATCAGGTGACACCAGGGAACAGCTAAGTTCAGGGGTCGGGTGAGGTCGGGGGCTAGGTAAGAGGGGCCACGTAAGTTCAAGGTTCAGGTGAGTCCAGCGGGTCGGAAAGGTTCAGCGGCGCAGGTGAAATTTCAGGGGAGCCAGGTGAGAATGTCCACGTGGAGTTTCCAGCGCTCAGCGATGGCAGGTGGACCGAGCACCCCGGGACCTCCACCACCACGCGTCAATGCGTGATCCCCCCCCCTCCCTGCCATCTCGCACCCCCCCAGCCCCCCACTACGTCCTCGGCATGCCGTGGTGGGTGGGAGCGGTGGGCCAGTGGTTTGGGTGGCCCCTTCCCCTACACAGACGGCCCCACGTGGGCAGCGGCAGGGACCCGTGTGGAGTCGCGCCCAATACACTCATCACCATCAGTACTGCAGTAATTCATTAAATAACACTTTGTCAGTATGTACACGTAGGCCCGCGCTCGGGTCTCATTAAAATATCTCTTCTCGTTTGTACACGAAGCTGCTCGCGCTCTACGAGCTCCCGCCACGGGAACGGGGAGTTGGCACGGGTGTGCGCCAGCCGCACTGCTCCTTCTCCTTCCTCCCTCCTCCTCCTCCTCCCCCTCATCCTGCCTCGTCCCATCTCACCACGGTCCCCTCACCTCGCCCTCACTACCCGCGCAGTGGCGATTCTAGGACCCGGTAACCACGGGGTGGCGGTAGAGGGGGGGTGGCACATGGGGGAGGAGGGCACACCCATTTTCTCCCCAACCACCCCCCCGCCTCGGTGTGAAACTCCCCGAGTGGGCGAGACTCTTAAGCTCGCAGCCTGGAGGCCTCGCGTGCCGACCGATCAGCTGGCGCGGTGTCATCTGGCACAGGGAAGGAAACGATGGCGGGTTGTGGTCGGTTTGTTGCGGAGGGTGTCGAGCCCAGCAGCGGCCAGCCCGGTTAATCGCTGTTGCCGAGTGCACTAACCGTCGCAGAGGACTTGCGCTGCCGGGCCGCTTCACTCACAGTGGACGTGACGGAGCCCTCGGAGCGTTCCGCGCCCGTGCCGGGGTCGCGGTGCGAACTGGCGGAATATTAACAGCTGCTCGCGAATCACTACATTGGGGTAAACCGCGTTGCAACATCGTCACTCCTTCCCCCCTCCCCCCCCTTGTCTAATTTTGGGGGGGGGGGGGCAGCGGTGGTGATGTGGCCTTGCCGGAGCGCAACGCTCGCCCCTGTTATACAGCTTTTGCGGTTCGGGATCCGGCAGGCCGCCCTGGTTAAGTCGCTGCTGCGGTGCGAACCGCGCGAAACCGCCGTAGAGCGCTGCCGCGCCGGCCGCCTCGCTCGCGACGTCATTCCAAACGAGCGGGCCACCGAGTTTGCCCTGGGTCACGACGGTCCGCGGCTGTGGCAAACTTTAACAGACGAACCACGCGAAATGACTCACACACGGGGACTGCCCCGTGGCAGCCGCACGCCACTTAGCAGTCGATGCTTGACCACGATCGTGATGAATGACCTCTTTAACCCTAACGTGAGCAGCCACTGCCTCTCAATGGTTTTGGGGGGGGGGGACACTGCAATTCATCAAGGGGGGGTCACAGCCTTCCCAGGCCAAACCCCTCCTCCCCTAGAATCGCCACTGCTCCTCGCGAGCCCCCCACTCCCCTTGCCCTCTCCCTGCTGTGTCTATGTACACGTGTGTGCGTGCGCGCGCGCGTGCGGTGTGAGCCGCCGCCGGGGTTCGGGGACCCCAGAAACCAACTCCACCCAGGTCCCCTGATATGTAGTGCGGCGCGGGGGCATGGAGGGGTCACGGGGCTGGGGGGATCAGGGATCCCCCCACGTCTGCCCGTGAGGATCGACACAGCGACCTCGACTCCCTTCTGGGGTCACACGCAGGCAACCCCTAAACACCGCAGGTAACCCCCAATCGGGGACTCCCCCCCCCCTCCCATCATGCGGGGTAGGGGGGGCATCGAAAAACCGTGTCTCACCTCGACCCCCACCACCCCGGGCCCTCTGACAGCCCCTACATCACAGCGCAGGGGTCTGGGGAAGAGACGGGTCACCAGGGGTACGCGTCTGGGGGTGCAAATAGGGTCATGGTGGGGGGCGGGCGCAGGGGGTTTGAGAGGCGCGCAGAGTCGGAGGTCTGTTGGGGAGCACAAGGGGACGCGCGTCGCGAGGGGGAGGGGATCGCGGAGGGGGGGTTGTTTGCGGAGGGGGGTCGCGGGGGACCGCAGAGTTAGGGGGAGGGTGCGAGCGGGGGGGGAGGCAGTCTCGAGAGGAGGGGGTCTTGGGTCACGGAGGGGCGCTGCCCCCTCCACCTTTCAAGTACTGAGCGTGGCGACAGCGCGGGCGGGCAGGCAGGGTAGGGTGGAGGTAAGGGGTGGTGGGGGGGGCCCTGCCTGTGGGAACCCTAGGGGGGCCTTAGGCGGCCCCTGGGCCGGGGCCCTTGGCCGCCGCCTCAGCGCGTGGGGGGTCACGGACGCTCGCGACCTCGCGCTCCTCCAGTAAAAAGTTTGGTCCTTTGGTCCCTACGGTCTAAGGAATGATGAGGTCAGCGATCTCGCTGTGGGGCGCCCAGCAAGGGGGTACCCGGCGAAGGGGTCCCCGGCGAAGGGGGTCCCCCGGCGAAGGGGTTTAGGAGGGGAGGGGGGTCCCCGTCCTTCTCCAACGTCCGGTGCCACTCAGAGCCTCTTCTGCAGCCCACGCAGGGAAGTGGGTAGGGGGGTGGGGGCTAGGCCCTCCCCTCCTGAGGAGCGGGTGGGGGCTGCAGGGGTTCTGAGCCCCTGGGTGGGGGCGGTACCCTGTGGGGGAGTCGGGGGGGGGGGGACCCCTGGGAAGGGGGCGGGGCAGGGAGCAAGACTCCATGGGGGAGGGGTTACCCCATAGAGAGAAGGGGTTACCTCAAGGGGTAAAGGTTACCCATACAAGGGAGGGGGGGGCTTGGGATACTATACGGAGTGGGGGAGGGGAGGGGCTAAACCGTAGGATAGGGGGTTACCCCATAGGGGGAGGGTGTTACCCCTTAAATAGGGATGGGCGATCCCCAGGGAGGGGATTGGTTACCCTGGATAGGAGTTACCCCGTGGGGGGGGGGGTGGAAGGGGATTGCCCCGTGGGGGGGGAGGGGCTATCCCGTTCGGGGGATGGGTCACCCCAGCGGGGGAGGGGAGGGGTCACCCCAGCGGGGGACGGGGGGAGGGGGTTACCCCGTGCGGGGTCAGAAGCTGCTGTTCCATAACGTCTCCCTGAAAGAGAGGGCAGCAGAGGGGGAGAGTGTGGTGAGTGTGAGTGCAGGTGAGTGTGGTGCAGGGGTGAGTGTGGTGCAGAGGGTGAGTGTGGTACAGGGGTGAGGTGAGTGTGGGCAGGGTGAGTGTGGTGCAGGGTGAGTGTGTGGCAGGTGAGTGTGGTGCAGGGTGAGTGTGGTGCAGGTGAGTGTGGTGCAGGGTGAGTGTGGTGCAGGGTGAGCGTGGTACAGGGTGAGTGTGGTGCAGGGTGAGTGTGGTGCGGGGTGGTGGGGTGAGGTGCAGGGTGAGTGTGGTGCAGGGTGAGTGTGGTGCAGGGTGAGTGTGGTGAGTGTGGTGCAGGGTGAGTGTGGTACAGGGTGAGTGTGGTGCAAGGTGAGTGTGGTGCAGGGTGAGCGTGGTACAGGGTGAGTGTGGTGCGGGGTGAGTGTGGTGCGGGTGAGTGTGGTGAAGGGTGAGTGTGGTGAGTGTGGTGCAGGGTGAGTGTGGTGCGGGTGAGTGTGGTGCAGGGTGAGTGTGGTGCAGGGTGAGTGTGGTGCAGGGTGAGTGTGGGAGTGTGGTGCAGGTGAGTGTGGTGCGGGTGAGTGTGGTGCAGGGTGAGTGTGGTGCAGGGTGAGCGTGGTGCAGGGTGAGTGTGGTGCAGGGTGAGTGTGGTGCAGGGTGAGTGTGGTGAAGGGTGAGTGTGTGCAGGGTGAGTGTGGTGCAGGGTTGAGTGTGGTGCAACGTGAGTGTGGTGCAGGGTGAGGTGTTGTGCAGGGTGAGTGTGGTGAAGGTGGTGTTGTGCAGGGTGAGTGTGGTGAAGGGTGAGTGTGGTGCAGGGTGAGTGTTGTGCAGGGTGAGTGTGGTGCAGGTGGAGTGTGGTGCAGGGTGAGTGTGGTGCAGGGGGAGTGTGGTGAAGGGTGAGTGTGGTGCAGGGGGAGTGTGGTGCCAGGGTGGTAGTGTGTGCAGGGTGAGTGTGGTGCAGGGTGAGTGTGGTGCAGGTGAGTGTTGTGCGGGTGAGTGTGGTGCAGGGTGAGTGTGGTGCAGGGTGAGTGTCGTGCAGGGTGAGTGTGGTGAAGGTGTGAGTGTGGTGCAGGGTGAGTGTGGTGCAGGTGAGCGTGGTGCAGGGTGAGTGTGGTGCAGGGTGAGTGTGGTGCAGGGTGAGCGTGGTGAAAGGGTGAGTGTGGTGAAAGGGTGAGTGTGGTGCAGGGTGAGTGTGGGTGCAGGGTGAGTGTTGTGCAGGGTGAGTGTGGTGAAGGGTGAGTGTGGTGCGGGGTGAGTGTGGTGCAGGGTGAGTGTGGTGCGGGGTAAGTGTGGTGCAGGTGAGTGTTGTGCAGGGTGAGCGTGGTGAAGGGTGAGCGTGGTGCAGGGTGAGTGTGGTGCGGCGTGAGTGTGGTGGCAGGGTGAGTGTGGTGCAGGGTAAGCGTGGTGCAGGGTGAGCGTGGTGAAGGGTGAGTGTGGTGCAGGGTGAGTGTGGTGAAGGGTGAGTTTGGTGAAGGGTGAGTGTGGTGCAGGGTGAGTGTGGTGCAGGGTGAGTGTGGTGCAGGGTGAGTGTGGTGCAGGGTGAGCGTGGTGCAGGGTGAGCGTGATACAGGGTGAGTGTGTGCAGGGTGAGTGTGGTGCAGGGTGAGTGAGGTGCAGGGTGAGTGTGATGCAGGGTGATTGTGGTGCAGGTGAGTGAGTATGGTGAGTGCCTCACCTGGAGAGTGCAGGGAAGTGGCCCTTCACCTGGGTGAGTATGGTGAGTCGCCGCTCACCTGTTGTGCACTTAGGAGGGGCGGTATGGTGAGTAGTGAGTGTGGTGAGTGTCCCTCACCTGGCGAGTATGGTGAGTCGCCCTTCACCTGGTCAGTGTGCGCTACAGGAGGGCGTTTGGGTGAGTGGTGAGTGTGGTGAGTCACCCCTGACCTGGTGAGTGTGCACTCAGTAGGGGCAGTGTGGTGAGTTGTCCCTTACCTGGCTAGTGCACGCTTAGTCTGGGGCGGTGTGGGCGAGTGACCCCCCCCCCCTTCTCCCACCGCTCACCAGGTGAGAATAGTTTAGTGGCTCCTCTCACCAGGTGTGAGTGGTTGAGTGGTCCCCCCTCACCTGGCAAGCGTGTGCTCATTAGGGGCGGCGTGGTGAGTGGTGAGTGTGGTGAGTCGCCCATCACCTGGTGAGTGTGAGTCTCAGTAGGGGCGGTTGGCGTCCTTGGGTCGCTTGAGCTGCACCTTGAGCCGCTTCATTCCGATCTGAAAGCCGTTCATGGCCTGGATCGCAGCCTGGGCAGAGCCCGGGTTATCAAAACTCACGAACCTGGGGCACGGGCACACGCGACACCGGTGGGTGAGTGGCCCCTCACCTGGTGAGCATGTGCTCGGTGTGGGGTGGGAGGGGCGGTGCGGTGAGTGTGGTGAGTGTGGTGAGTGCCCTGCGCAGATAGCCCGGATTGTCAAAACTCACGAAACCTGGGGCACGGGCACACGCAACACCGGTGTGTGAGTGCCCCTCACCTGGTGAGCATGTGCTCAGTGTGGGGTGGGAGGGCGGTGCGGTGAGGTGCGGTGAGTGTGGTGAGTGCCCTGCGCAGAGCCCGGATTGTCAAAACTCACGAACCCTGGGGCACGGGCACACGCGACACCGGTGGTGAGTGGCCCTCACCTGATGAGCGTGCACTCGCTCAGTGGGTGGGGGGGAGGGGAGGGCGTTGCGGTGAGTGGTGAGTGTGGTGAGTGCCCTGGGCAGAGCCCGGATTATCCAAACTCACCTGGTGAGTGTGCGCTCAGCAGGGGGCGTCGTGGTGAGTGGCCCCTCACGTGGGTGAGAGTGGCACTCGGGGTAGTGGAGGTAGCGCTTGAGTGTGGTGAGTGACCTCGGCTGGTGAGTGTGCGGGGAGTAGGGGCGGTGCGCTGAGTGGTGAGCGTGGTGTGTACCCTCACCTGGTAATTGTAGGTGTGATGCAGTGATTGATGGACTGGTGAGTGTTGAGTGCCCTCACCTGGCGAGCATGCAGGCAGTAGGGGCAGCGTGGTGAGTGGTGAGTGACGCTGCTGTTGGCAGTAGGGGCTGTGTGGCCAGTGACTGCTGGTGGGGTGAGTGGCAGGCAGTAGGGGCAGTGTGGTGAGTGTGGTGAGTGGATACTACACATTGTTCAGCTATACACACACCATCACACTCACACACTCATATCATCACACTCACACCATCAGTGAGTGAGGGTGGGGCAGGTGATAGTGGAGCGCGTGACGGTGGAGCGAGTGAGGGTGGAGGGAGTGAGGGTGGAGCGAGTGTGGGTGGAGCGAGTGAGGGTGGCGCTAGTGAAGGTGGAGTGACGGTTGAGGGTAGAGTGATGGGTGAGGGTGGAGCTAGTGAGGGTGGAGCGAGTGAGGGTAGAGCGAGTGAGGGTGGAGTGACGGGTGTAGGTGGAGCGAGTGAGGGTGGAGCGAGTGAGGGTGGCGCGAGTGAGGGTAGAGGGAGTGAAGGTGGAGTGACGGTTGAGGGTAGAGTGATGGGTGAGGGTGGAGCTAATGAGGGTGGAGCGAGTGAGGGTAGAGTGATGGGTGAGGGTGGAGCGAGTGAAGGTGGAGCAAGTGAGGTGGAGCGTCGGGTGAGGATGGAGTGACGAGGAGGATGGGGTGAGTGTCTGTACCGAAGCACTTGCTCTGGTTGGTGGCTCTGTCCACGAACACTTTGGAGGAGATGACGCTGCCGAACGGGAGGAACATCTGCGTGAGCTCCCCGTCCCCAAACTCTGCGGCAGGTGGTAGATGAAGAGGTTGCAGCCCTCGGGGCCTGCAGGGGCAGGGGGAGGCGCAGGAAAAGAGGTCAGAAGAGGTGAGCGCAGGTAAGAGAGGGGAGATGGACCAGGTGAGATAGGGGAGATGGACCAGGTGAGATAGGGGAGATGGACCAGGTGAGATAGGGGAGATGGACCAGGTGAGAGGGTGGGGGATGGAGCAGGTGAGAGGGGGGGAATGGACCAGGTGAGATAGGGGAGATGGACCAGGTGAGAGGGTGGGGGATGGAGCAGGTGAGAGGGGGGGATGGAGCAGGTGAGAGGGGGGGGATGGAGCAGGTGAGAGGGGGGGGATGGAGCAGGTGAGAGGGGGGGGATGGAGCAGGTGAGAGGGTGAGGGATGGAGCAGGTGAGAGGGGGGGGGGATGGACTAGGTGAGAGGGGAGGGAGATGGACCAGGTGAGAGGGGGGGATAAACCAGGTGAGGGGGGGATGGAGCAGGTGAGAGGGGAGGGAGATGGACCAGGTGAGAGGGGGAGGATGGACCAGGTGAGAGGGGGGGGGATGGACCAGGTGAGATAGGGGAAATGGACCAGGTGAGAGGGGGGGATGGAGCAGGTGAGAGAGGAAGGTGAGAGTGGTGGTGGTTGTAATGTGGTTGTACCTTCTCTCTGTTGTTGAGGCAGCACTGTGCCCGGGTGTGGGAAGCTCTGGTTGATTTGTCCATAGACAGCTGGGTACGTCGCTGAACAAAGACAACAACAAATATCCCCCGTATAGCCTTAACAGACTGTTGGGGCAAGTGCTTTTAGCGAGCACCTAGAAAGGCCAGCATGGCACACGAGGGGCTGGGTGGCCAACACCACGCCCGGCCGCCTTTGTCTCCCCAGTGGCAACGTTTATACACCACACCAGGTACTCATTTGAGACTGAGTCGACCTAGGGGAGGCCCACGACCAGTTCAAATAATCGTCACTGGTGTTGGCCGTGAGCGAGAATCCAACTCGGGTCGCCAGGTTCGTAGCGCAGCGCGCTAACCGCTATATATACACACTCGTCACCACTCACCAAACGCTGTGATGCAATATGGTAGTGTGATGTTGCGTGGTGGTATGATGGGGTCACGGTGTGATAGTGTGAAGGTGTAGGCAGGTATAGTGGTAAAGATGTGGAACAGTTGTGGTACGTGGTGGTGGTGGCGGTGTGATGTGGTATTGTGGCAGTGTGATGTGGTGGTGTGGCATTGAGTAATGTGGTGGTTGTGCGGTGGTGAGACTTCAACGTTTTCCTCTGGTGCAGTGTGGTGGGGTGCGAAGCATGGTGGTGCGCGGTGGTGTGGTGTGAAGTATGGTGGAGTGCGGTGCAGTGCGGTGATAAGTCCGCCAGCGTGGTGCGGTAAGTCCGGCACCTGTGTACTGCTGTATGCCGGCGTACGCCTGCTGCATGGGGTCTGCAGCAGTGGGGCTTTGAGCTGTGGCACAAAGACAAAGATCCCCCGTATAGCCTTTAACAGACTGTTAGGGCTGTTCTCGAGCACCTGTGAAGACCAGCACGGCACACGAGGGGGTGGGTGGCCAACACCACGCCTGTCCGCCTCTGCCTCCCCACTGGCATGTTTACACACCGCACCAAGTACTCATTTGGGCCTGAGTCGACCTCGGGGAGGCCCACAACCGGTTCAAATAATCGTTACTGGTGTTGGGCCGTGAACGGGAATCGAACTCTGGTCGCCAGGTTCGTAACGCAGCGCGATAACCGCTACACGACAACTCCCCATACCGCTGGCAATTGTTAAATTAAGAATATCATAGTTTAGTTTCATAGTTTTATTTATTTGGTATAGCCCTGTGAGCCATTCGGCTCTTGAATCGGGTGCAACCGCAACAAACAAAAAAAACAAAAACACGAACAAGAAAACATCTTAAAGTGACTTTGTGCATGTGCAAACAGAAAATCCAGGAAAAAAACATAAAAATATTCCTGAAATAGCACCGTACACCAACGCTGTGTGAAAAAATCCCAGTGGGATGCAAGTCAATCAACAACAACAAGAAAACTTAGATTAAGGCCATCAGTCTTAACTCCGTACTACAATAAACAAAAACATGGCCAAACCCAAGGTGGGGTTAAGGATTGGGGTCACAGTCACCTGGATATGGTTAGGGGTTAGGTCAGGGTCACCTGGGTAAGGTTAGGGGTTGGGGTCAGGGTCACTTTGGTAGGGTTAAACTAAAGCTAAAAAAATGTATTTTACCAGGTAAGGCCCACTGAGCTATATAGCTTTTTTTCAGAAGTGACCTGGCCACACACGATAGCCCAAAGAAGTGGCTTATCACGTGGACATTTCCAGCAGTAGCTAGATACACTAAACGCGTGATGTTGATTCTAAATGTGGAGGGAAAACCCGGAGGACCCGGAAAAGAAAATCCACATTACCACAGGGAGAACACGCAAACTCCATATATACAGACACTGGTAGGGTCGGGATCGAACCCACGACCTCCTGTATACCAGATGAGGTAGTTACCATTTTGCCATCGTGGTTTGGTTAGGGTCACCTGGGTAGGGTTAGGCATAGGGGTTGGGATCAGGGTCACCTGGGTAGGGTTGGATCCGGGGTCAGGGTCATCTGAGTAGGGTTAGGGGCCGGGGACATCTGGGTGGGGTTAGGGATCGGGGTCATGGTCACCTGGATGGGGTTAGGGGTCAGGGTCACCTGGATGGGGTTTGAGGTCACCTGGATAAGGTTAAGGGTTGGGGTCAGGATCACCTGGGTGGGGTTAGGAGTCAGGGTCAAGTGGGTAGGGGTTAGGGGTCAGGATCACCTGGGTGGGGTTAGGGGTCAGGGTCAGGCTCACCTGGGTAGGGGTGCAAGCCGTTGCTGTACAGGGCCTCGGGCTGGCCGTTATGCTGGGGGGGCAGCGCCGTGAAGCCGTTGAGGCTCATGGGGGGCGGCGCAAGTGCCGGCAAGCCCGACGAGCCGATCCCGGGGGGGGTGCTGCCCCCTGCAACCACAATCACAACCGCACAGCCACAACACAGCCACATTACAACCGCGTCAGTGCGAGCCGTCACTCAGCCACCGCCGCCGCGCAAACCCTCGATCGCGCGACCGCAGTCGCAATGGTGTAGCCACCGAGCAACCGCTGCAACCACAACGATGTAACTAGAATACAACCGCACAGGCAGAGCCACAGTGGCACTATCACAATCGCACAGACACCACTACAGACACAGCTACATTCATACAATCACAACCACACAGACAAAACAACACAACCATACAGACACAACCAGACAACCACACAGACACCACGACAGACACAACTACGTTCATACAATCACAACCACACAACCACACAGACACAACCAGGGACACGCAACCACAATCGCACATTCACCACACAGACATGACCACAAACAGCACAAACGCAAGCAGAGAGACACCACCACAGACACAACCACAATGCAGTTTAACACGTAGGCTTTCGCGACCAATAAGGAGGATTTCTCCACAACTCTGGCTTCGCCTGATGATGCTGGTTGTAATTACTGGCGAAACGTTGTACTCAAATTGTAAATGTTGTGGGTTTTACTCTCCAACACACCGGTGTGCTGTACTAGTAATGAATTGGCACGTTTTGTTAACATGACAAACCTTACCAATTAGCTGTGTCGGGTGGTGGCGGGTTTAACAACACATTTATATTTACGCGATCTAACCCAAAAACCTCTATTATGGATAACCACAATGCAGTCACGTCTATGACACTGCTGTCAGAGGGGCCGATGATCAACCAAAGTAACTCATTGCCCCCCAAATCACGTCCCAACGCGGCCACCAGGAAGCGCTGAGGTGGATCTTCGTTCAACAGTTGCTGAGCAAAACATCGAGCGGCCAGCAACAAACAGCACTAGCATCAGCGTTGTAATGGATATGACGTTAAGACGTTTCTTCATTTGAGCAAGGTTGCTGTCGTAAGAGCTTGGGGGGAAAGAGACGATGAGGGGAGGAGGGAATTGCAAAGTGGAGCGGTGCGAGGGAAGATGCAGAAAGGGAAGAGAGGTAGCCTGCAGTGTGGTGTGTGCGTGTGTGAGCGTGTGCGTGGGTGAGTGTGTACGTGGGTGAGCATCTGTGTGGGTAAGTGTGTGCGTGGGTGAATGAGTGGGTGAGTCAGTGAATGTGTGCGTGGGTTTAGCGAGTGTGTGGGTGGGTGAGCGTGTGTGTGAGTGGGTGGGTGAGTGAGTGTCTGAGTGGGTGAATGAGCGAGTGTGTGCGTGGGTGAGCGAGTGAGTGCGTGGGTGAATGTGTGAGTGGGTGAATGAGTGTGAGTAGGTGAGTCAGTGAATATGTGAGTGAGTGGGTGAGCGAGTGTGTGCGTGGGTGAATGTGTGAGTGGATGAATGAGTGGGTGAATGAGTGTGTGAGTGGGTGTCAGTTAATGTGTGAGTGAGTGGGTGAATGAGTGTGTGAGCCAGTAAGTGTCTGAGTGGGTGGGTGGGTGAGAATGTGTGTGTGAGGTGATAGGGAGTGGGTCACGAGGTCTGATAGTCGTCTCACGGTTGGTGAGGTGAGAGGAGTGAGCCCGGGTGGTGAGGAGGAGCAGGCGCCTCACCTGACGTGGGAGTCATCGGCGGAGCGCCCAAACTTGTCATGTTCATCGCCGCCATCTGCTGCATCTGGGCGGCGGAGAAGGCGGACACGGGGGCGATGTAGCCGCCCTGGGCCACGGCCATGAGTGCGGCCTGCTGCTGCATCAGCTGTGACACACACAGCCACACGGCATGCTGTTACACCGCACGACCGGCTGTTACACCGCACGACCGACTGTTGCACCGCACGGCCAGCTGTTTCACCGCACGGCCAGCTGTTTCACCGCACAGCCAGCTGTTGCACCGCACAGCCAGCTGTTGCACCGCACGGGCAGTTGTTGCACCGCACAGTCAGCTGTTGCACCGCACAGCCAGCTATTACACCACACGGGCAGCTGTTGCACCGCACAGCCAGCTGTTACAACACACTGGCAGCTGTTGCACCACACAGCCAGCTGTTGCACCGCACAGCCAGCTGTTACACTGCATGGGCAGCTGTTACACTGCATGGGCAGCTGTTACACTGCATGGGCAGCTGTTACACCACACGGGCAGCTGTTGCACCGCACAGCTAGCTGTTACACTGCATGGGCAGCTGTTACACTGCATGGGCAGCTGTTATACTGCACAGCCAGCTGTTACACCGTACTGCCAGCGGTTACACTACAGCTGTATCACACGAAACGCTGTCAAACAACACACTCAAAGCCTGCTCTCAGACAGCCTGCTGATACATTTGCTATTATACACTGCATGCTCTTGTAATCAGCTGAGTTTTGTGTGTGTGTACATTTTCACGTGTGAATGCATGCGTGTTAATGCAATAAGCACGCATGTCTGTGCTTGTGTGTATCCCTGGCCACCCCGAGGTCGACTCAGCCTTAAATGAGTACCTGGTGCAGTGTGTAACTGACATGAGCATTGGGAAGGGAGACAAATACACCGCGGTGGCGAGATGTAAACTACCTCGCCTGGTATACAGGAGGGCATGGGTTCGATTCCGACTCTTGATCCCTGTATATATTTTGAGTTTGTGTGTTCTCCTCGTGGTCGTGTGGATTTTTCTCCGGGTCATCTGGTTTTTCCATCCACGTTTATAATTAACATGTGTTTCGAGCATTTGGCTGCTATAAATTTCCACGTGATAAGTCACTTAATTGAGCCACCAATTGTGGCCAGGTCACTTATGAAAAAGAGCTATATAGCTCAGTGAGCCTTACCTGGTAAAACAAACATTTTTTATAGTTTAAACATGGCCGGGCGAACGGGCGTGGCGCTTGGCACCCCTACCCTCGTACGCCGCGCCGGCCTTCACATTATCTACTCGCAAACTGCACTTGCCCCAACGGTTCATGAAAGGCTACACGGGGGACCTTTGTCCCTGCACGTCTCACCGCCTGAGCGTACGTCCCGTAGGCGCCGAACTGCAGGGCCATGGGGTTGAAGATGCCGAGCTGGCCGGCCATCTGCTGCATGCGACGCAGAGTTCGCTCCTTGTCCGTGTCTGCAAACTTCACCACGAGACTGGAGGACGCACCCTGCAACATGGAAGAGACACGCGTAGAGATGCATAGAGATACACTGAGACACATAAACACGGAGACACGAAAGACTGTTGGAGCAAGTGCTGTTAGCAAGTAGCACCTATGAAGGCCGGCAAGGCACATGAAGGGGTGAGTGGACAACACCACACCCGACCGCCTTTGTCTCCCCAGTGGTGATGTTTACACACTGCAACCAGGTACTCATTTGAGGCTGAGTCAACCTAGGGGAGGCCCAGGACCGGTTCAAATAATCGTCACCGGTGTTTTCCGTGAGCGGGAATTAAACTCGGTTCGCCAGATACGTAGCACGGCATGCTAACCGCTCCACTACCTAGACACACACACACACGCCTCTTGAAGTTATGCATGGAACACACAGGTAAAAATACCACATGACAAAGGTACACAGACACAGAACGCACAGGAACACATATAATACAAAGACAAAAACAAAGATCCCCCGTATAGCCTTAACAGACTGTTGGGGCAAGTGCTGTTCGCGAGCGATGCAACACAGACACGCATAGACATAGACACACAAAGGTACACACGCTGTTGCCATCGTAAAAATCACGCGCTGTTGCCATAGTAGCATTCACACGCTGTTGCCACAGTAACATTCACACGCAGTTGTCATGTTAACATTTACACGCTGTTGCCATCGTAAAAATCACGCGCTGTTGCCATAGTAGCATTTACACGCTGTTGCCATAGTAACATTCACACGCAGTTGTCATGTTAACATTTACACGCTGTTGCCATCGTAAAAATCACGCGCTGTTGCCATAGTAGCATTCACACGCTGTTGCCATAGTAACATTCACACGCAGTTGTCATGTTAACATTTACACGCTGTTGCCATAGTAACATTCACACGCTGTTACCATAGTAACATTCACGCGCTGTTGCCATAGTAACATCAGGCACTTGGAATGGGATCTTGGGAACATTAGCGCCCCGTGCTGGCGATCCTGGGAATAACGATGAGAATCCCATTCGTGTCAACAGTGGCGGAAACGGCCATTGAAATCGCTGGAATTCTACGGACAATTCTCTAAAGGACCTGTCAGAAACACAGACACACGCAGACACACAGTCACATAGACACACAAACATAAAGACACACGGACACAAATACAAATACACACAAACATAAAGACACACAGACATAAAGACACCCAAATACACAGACACAGACATAAAGACACGCAGATACACAGACACACAGACATAAAGAAGCACAGACATAAAGACACGCAGACACACAGACATAAGGACACACAGACATAAAGACATATAGACACACAGACACATAGACACACAGACATAAAAACACAGATATAAAGACACACAGACACATAGACATGCTAGGACGCAGACACAAAGAAATCGACACAAAAACACGACATACAGACACAAACATAGGTACAAAGATGCATAGACACAGATAGACACAGATACACACGCAGACACACAATGCGCATGCAGATGCAGACAGACACAAAGACAAAGAAACACACACAAAGACGTACACACAGAGACAGACATATACAGAGACACAGACGCAAATACCGTACACAGACACACAGAGACATAATACACAGACACATACAAACAGCCACACAGATACACACGCTCACACAGAGACAAAAACACAAACATGCACGTAATGTTCTCTGATTGGCAATGGGGTTGAAGGAACAGGCACTGATGGGGAAGGCGGCGGTGGTGGTGGGGGTCCCACCGGCATGGTCTGGCTCCCATGGAGCGCGTTGATGGCCGCCTGAGCCTCGGCGTGGTTGGAGAACTTCACGAATGCGCAG